ATTAGTAATCAAATCTTATGATTAACCATACCGTACCATAAGCCTTTCGGAAATCGATAAGCAGGGTTCTTACCTCTCCCACTATCAGTTACAATAATACATTCTTGTAAAAAATCGAATAAGAGCATCAGTGCTAGAAACCCCGCTGGTGCAACCAAGCTGGTTGAGGCATATTTTCTCTATGGGTGAGGTGAATACTATCTTCAATCTGCTTCCAAATCATCTTACCGATAAAGTTGTCAACAGCCTTCATTACTGCTGAAGTTACTGTTACTGTTACTGTTTTATTCATCATCATCAATAGATTATTTTATTTACATTTTTTTTTTATTACATGTTTTTTTTTTATTATTGATAAATGAATGGAAGCCTGTATAGGTCCGAAGACACTTAAGCTCAGGCCACATGAACAAAAAAAAGAAAAAAAAAAACGAGTAAGAAATTTGAGGCTATAGTTTAAAAGATAATAATTAAATTTTTTTTAATCGTTTTTTAACAGTACAATAAATACAGTAAATAAATAAGTACAATAAATTAAGTGAAACAAAATGGGAAGTTTGAATAATAAATAAAAAGAAGTAAATAAAACAAAGGTAAGGCAGATAAACTCGATGTACTGGGTCATATGAAGAATGGAATGAAAGAAACAGGAAATTAGACCTGCTGGTTGTTTACTGGTGCTTTTGAATACAAAAAACGTCAAACGAGAAGAAAGATTATACAGTCGATGTAGAGAGATTAGGCCTACTTGTTGTATGCCGAGACCAGAGATTTTTTAAAATTCGTTTTGAAGCTGGAAATAGATAATTTATTTTTCAAAGACATGGTAAGTGAATCCCATACGTTTGGGCCGGTATAAAAGATGGAATGACGTCTAAGATTTGAAAAAAGTTAGGAAAATTGGTCTCAAATCATTTTCAATAGACATGGGTAGGGAAACCTTCGGGATGGGCACAACACTGTCTCTGAGTATCCAGGGTAGAACCCTTTTTGTGTGCTGTTTTAAAGTTTAAAATTTTATTTTAACACGGCCCTAGGGAAGAACAGTCATTGGCTGAGTCTGGGCCACACGTGTATAAATAAAGTTTATTATTATTATTATCATAACCCCATCTGGACCAGTCGTCGAATTTATCAGAAATCAGCTTAGATTTGCCTTAAGTCCATTTTTTGGCTTAAGTCAAATTTATAAATATTGAGCTTTAAAAATGCTTAAAATTAAAAAGTCGATTGTGCACAAGCTCCACCTGAGACGATTTTTAAGCTAGGATTTTGCTAAGATGGTTTGATAAATCAGCTTAAGTTGCTTTAGAACATCTTAACTTGTTTGACTTAAGACATTAATTGCTAAGATGAGAGAACATCTTAACTTGTTTGACATTAATTGCTAAGATGAGATTAATAAATCCCAGGCCTTGTTCCCTTTTACTGTAACAACACTAAATAAAAAATAAGTTATGTGAATATATAATTTTGAAACCCACAGTGTTTTTGACTGAATATATTTTGATAGGCTTCACGTGCACATGAGAGAGTCAATAGGGAGCTTTTGATTACACGACAACGGTAGGACGTAGAACGTAATGACGTCACTAAAAGTCATCTGCGCATGCGAGAACGTTAAGGTCACATCGTCGAGTAGATTCTGGAACGCAATTCGTAGGACGCCGCCAGGTAGGACGGTCACGCATAAGTGACGCCGTTCTATCTAGCGTCGCGTCGTCGCAAAAATCGAAAGCTCCCTAGTAATTTGGATTTTGTCTAAGTGGCAAGTGGCATTACTCGTTATCATCATGAGTTTTGGTTTACTATAATTCATCAATACAATACATTACTTTTTACTGATCCTGACTTGGCAACTTTCATAAAATTCAAATTATCAATCAATAAAGCTTTGTTTATTTAAGCTCCAATCTTGAGTTATGGCTCGAAATAGTTTAGTATTTTTATGAACAAATCACGTTTATAGTTCTTCAAAATAACAAAAATTATAGGCTTATAAAAACACATTAATGTAGGTTACTTCATTTTGTTTCATTTATTTCCAGGCAAAGCATTAAACACAATAAAAAATCAATTTTTATCTTATGAGTATGTAGGTGGTACAATAATGATAATAAATAATAATGTAAGTCATATACCTCTATGCGCTTTACATAAATATCCATGAGAGTCAATTCGCTACCAGTTTTATAAAAAAAAAAAAAAAAAACCGACAGTCGGAGAGTAGGCCTAAACCACAGTGAACGACTGCATTCTCAGATCTTTATACTAGGAAGTAACAATGCTCAGACTTTGGAATATGTTGTTCTTGATTTCCTTCCTCGTGACTTTCTCTGCATCAACGGGTATGATAGTGTGTATGCATTGTTTACAATAGGATTTTGAAAATCATTAACGGGTGTAAGATAGTTTTACCTAATTTCGCTAATTTTTTCCAGGCAAAGCATTAAATAGGCCTATAACACAATAACACAGCAACACAAAGAACAACACTATATCAAATTCTCCTTTTCTTCATGAGCGTGTCATTTCATTTCATTTCTTTAGGCACAGGCACGAAGTATATGCCAATTAGTGAACTTAATTACTGTACTACGTGGCATATACATCCCTTTCGGAATATATTAAAGGTAATAAACAATAATAATAACAATAATAATGTCTTATATACGATATATATAATAGTCTACAATAAAGTTGCCTCCAAGTACTTCACATGAAAAGAAATAAATATATTCATGAAAAACAACTCGCTACCAGTTTTATACAAAACGACAGTCGAGAGTGCTACTGTGAACGAGTGCATTATCAGATCTTTATACTAGGAAGCAACTATGTTCACACTTTGGAAGACGTCATTGATTCTCTTGCTCCTGACTTTCTCGTCAACTAGTGGTATGTAGGCCTGATTTCAATTCAAATTTTGAACGATTATAGAATTGCGTTGCTCGTAAAGTGTGGTTAGGATGGATTCAAATTATTTTATTCATGTAATATAACACATTAATCATCGTGTAGGTGAGACTTGTCTTTTAAACACAATTTCACAATAACACAGTAACACAACGACACAAAGGATAAAAAACACTTTAAAAAAAAACCCCTTTTCTTTTTTTTCTCTTTCGTGGCGTAACCACCACCTTTATTCAAACAATCAGTACAGTACAGTACAATATTTCCTTCTATATCATTTTGTTTTCATTACCTTCATGGCGTTACCGTTTATTTTTTTTATTATATCATTTTTTAACAATAAATAACGTGTATAATCGAATAAAGGTATTTTGGAATAAAATATAATTTAAATTGTTTAATAGAATAATTTTATTTTTTTATATCACATTATACGGTATATCATTATAATATAACATACTTTATTTAATATAATCTTCA